CGTCCTTAGTGGTGATGCAAGCATGATCAAGAACATGTTCGCCGAAGTCATCTTCGACGATCGCAGAGATTCGTTGAAAATTGGATCGGCTTTCGGGAAGTTCATCCGGCACATCACGCTTCAAGTCTCCAGGGGCGGGTCCAACTCTTTGAAGTTGGGTAGCCTGCTCATCTCCACATCAGCTTCCGGTGGCTCACGTTTTCTCGAGCCAGCGGCGTGAGGCATGACGGGAAGTGAGTCGTCGGCGTTGCCGTCCTGAAGTGCTGCAGGAGCCGGCGCGGGAGGCAGAACGAAGTCATCTGTCTCCTCGGAACGGCCCCTCGGATCCCAAGGCTTTGCGACGAAGTCTTTGAGCATGTCGACGTCCACCTGTTGTTCCGATGGAAATCGTCGCACGCTGCGCGTCTTCGTCACGCCAGAAGTGGTTCCGATGATGTGCATATCAGAAGTGGTATCTCTACCGAGCCAGAGACCAGGCTGCCAGGCAAGTTCAGCCTTTGACACCCTTCCGGAGACTCGGAAGAGAACAACCTCACCAAAACGACAGATTGCAGAAGTGTACCGTCTCGACCAACGACGTTCAAACAGAGTCAATCCGTCGCTTCGGATTGCGTAGCGATTGAGAAGCCATTGCGAGTGTCGAACCAACCATGTCATGATTGGCGAAGTCAACTCGATTTCACGGCCGTGTCGCTCTTGCAAGTCCTTACGAAGCGTTCGGATCTGAGCGTACAGGAGTTGCTGCGTGTTGCCGACAGCTCCTTGCGCCTGCTTCCACTCTACGGAAGAAGTGCGCAGACTAAGCCCGCCGAGGTCCGAAGTGACCTCTTCAGCTACAGCCTTGAGCGACGGTTCCGGGTCACACTCAAGTACCCCGAACGTCCGACCAGCCTCAAGGACAAACCGGCGAAGCTCAGCACGGGCATACACGGAGTAACCCTTGTTCGGGACTAGTGGACATTGAGAAGTGTCAGCTGATTCCCTGAAGGGTCCGTGATGAAGCTGTAGTCCATCTGCAACACAGGCTGCTTAGTGCGAAGTTTTGCCGAGTGGTTCTGACGAGACTTCGCCTGCACGCAGTGAGTGCACCAGCTACGAAACGGAAAGTGCGTAAGTAAGTGTTCGGCACGCTCCAATTCCGTAGGCTGCTTTGGCTGCGAAAGTCCTCGAGCGACACGCGCCTGGACATCGCCTTCTTCAGCCTCTGGAAGTGGCAAGTTGCTCCGGTGAACGTGACCCCGATGTCACGCTTGGCGCTCGGGTCGTTGAAGTCCCACGTGTCCTCAAGCCATTGGTCGCCGGCATCCGTGAGAACCATGGTCATTCGACCGTTGCCAACTTCCTCTTGCGGGGGTCCATCCTGAAGTTCAACCTCTGTTGGAACGAACATGGTGGATCGAGGTACATGATGAAACCTGATCCACATCAGAGAGGTGCTCAGCCAGAAGTCGTGAAGTCCAGTCTCCGGATCCTTCGACTTCATCTGCTCAAGGACCATCTTTCTAATGTTGTCCATGTTTCCTTCAGAGGCCATCTGAAGTTTGCGACGGAAGTCATCGCTGTATCCTCCATTGGCCGAAGCTCGGGCTGAAGCAGAAGGTTCCGCGACAGTCCGCTGAGGTGGCCTGGAAGAAGACGCAGCGCTCGAAGCTGGTTGCGCTGCAGAAGTGGCATCTGCAGCGACGGGTTCCAGCTGAACGTTCCTAAGCTGGGGCAAAGTACTCTGCTTGCCGGTCAGCTTCTTTCCAGTTGGCCTTGAAGCAAGCACGAATTACGTGCGCCCTTTCCAGAAGTCCGCATATGCTTTATGCGGCTCCTCCGAAGTGCGCCAGTTGTCAACTACAACTTCTTCGCGGCCATCGGAGTGCGTCATGTAAGTTCGTCGCTCATCAGCAAGTTGCTCCAAAGTCACTGGCCTGTCGGAAGTACCTTCAGGAGTGAACAGAGCTTTACGTGGCCTCTTGTGGTGTCTCACCAGCGTGTTCCTTGCTGAGTCGAAGTGCCATCGATCAGCATGATAGTACACTGGCTTGAAAGAAGTTGGCGCAACCAAGTTGGAGTCTGGCCTGAACTGCTCATGGAAGACCTGACTTACAAACTCATAGTCAGACTTCTCGAAGTTCAGGATTCTTGGACACATGAACAACAACGATCCACATCTATGAAGTTCAAGATTGGATCCCTCGGGTGTCTTCAGGTGAAGTTTCTTTCCAAGTGACACCTCAAAACCTTGTCCAAGAAGTCTTCCAACCGACACAACAGGGTAAGGAACATCACATACATAAAAGCGCAAGTGAAGTCCAACTCCGCCAATCTCCATGCCAACAAGTTTCCGACCGTATACATTCAGAAGTTGTCCTGATATGCTTCGAAGTGGAGGTGGCTTACCGGTCAATGGCAGAAGTGGCCATGCCGGTGCGAAGCTTCTGGGGCAGCAGTTTGCCGCTGCACCAGAGTCGAAAAGAATCCACTCCGAAGTGTCAACCATGTGTGCAACCAAGTGTTGTTCAAGGAAGTAACCATGAAACTCAACGTCCAAGTGACCTAAGCCAACTGAAGTCAAGCTCACAAACTCATCCATGTGAAGAACTTCACAGTTCTCCTCAACACCATCATGCAGAAGTGGTGCCATTGCACACTCAGTGGATGAGCACAGGTCACTGTGAAGTACCGTGCTCAAATCCGACTGAGCTTTGTTCTCATATGGAAGTTGGTCCGAAGTGTCAACCAAGCTCAAACCACGCAAGTCTGGCAAGCTCAAGCCAACATCAACCATGCAACGGAAGTCACTCCAACCTGCAAAGTCAACCAAACCAGAACCGCTTGAAGTCGAGGTACACGAGAAAACGCCTGAGTGAGCAGGTTCAGGAAGTGAGTGTCCTGTGGCTCCTGTTGCAATTGCATTCAACGTCACTGCAGCGAGAAGTATGCTGGGGGAAGCCTTCATCTTTGCCTTAGGCATGGGGGCCTTGAAGTGTGACAGCTCCTACAGTTGGCTGCGAAGTGCTTGGCTCAGCAGGTGCCTGTGGAAGTTGGGCCGAAGTTCCATGAGTCATCTTCATCTTCCCAAGAAGTGGGGTCCCAAAGAGCCCCAATGGACCATTCATCAGAAGTCCACTCATCATTCCACATGTCGCTCTCATGCCATGAAGTGTTCCATGAATCATCGAATGACTCACCTGAAGTTTCATCAACAGCACTGACTCTCTTCCAAGGACAAAACTGAGAAGTATGCCCCTGTGTCCCACATGACCAGCATGTCATGAACCCTTTACCTGAGGCCGAAGCGCTCGAAGTGCTGTACTGCGAAGTGTTCTGCTTTCCTTTGCCTTTGAAGTTCGGTTTACCTTTACCTTTGAGCCCTTTTGCCTTTCCTTTCATGAAGTTCCAGTGACCGAAGCCACCCTTTCCTTTGCCTTTGTTGCCTTTCTTGCCTTTTCCTTTGTTGAAGTACGAATACTTCCCTTTGCCTTTAAGTGCACCTATGTCCATGGGAGCTGCTCCGTTTGATTGTGAAGTGGTCAGGATGTGACGCGACCTGAAGTACTGAACCAACACCTCACGAGTGGCCTGGTAACTTTGAAGCGCATGCGCGTTGAGACGAAGGTGCTGCTGAAGCGCGCCTTGTGTTTTGTTCATCAGCGTTGCCACAAGTACACTATCGGGAATTGGAGTTCCTGTTTGCCTTTCGTACTTGGCCTTAACTGTCTCCCAGGCGTTGAAGTCTTGCTCAAAAGTGCTTGTGTTGAACTTCCAGTGTAACAACTGAGTCAGAAGTGACACATGTCTGGTGGCATCTGGTAGTGAAAATTGGCGATGAAGTCGGCGCCAGGTCTCAAACCCGTGGCCTCCTTCATTCTGCCTTACCAGAAGTCTGGCACTATCTTTCGTCAGATTGGCTAGCAAATAATGAAGTTTCCTAGAAAACGTCACAAGTCTTTGCCTAGCAGCTGTATCAGTTGCGATACCATCGAAGTGGTCATCCAGGATTGGGTCAGCAGAAGTTGCTGATCTTTCCAGAATGGGAATCACTGAAGGCTCAAACATAGAAAGATAAGTGCGGAAGTTCCATTCCCATTCCTCCCAGGATGCAGGGTCACCATTAAATGGGTTCGGAAGTGGAAGCCTAAGCTTCCCACCGAATTCCGACTCCAGCTCTGCCATTGGTTTCTGTGCAGTCGAAGTTACCTAAGTGACCTCCTTTGATTTCTCAAAAGTTGGGCTCTACCGAAGTCCTACTGGAGCACTAAGCCTCCGCTACCATGAGAAAATCCAAGTTGATCAGAAGTGATGCAAACAACACTCCTACTGTATGACCACACTCAACCCTGAAGTACCCTAGCAGCTCCCTATTTTCCTCTGTGCACTTGAGCCCTTGAGCCGAAGTGTCATGGTGAAGTATATATATTATGGGGTGTGCCATGCATGCAATACTTTGACACAAACAAACAAACAAACAAACAAACAAACAAACAAACAAACACAAACAAACAACCACAAAGACACCAACCACACAAACACACAAAGACACCAAACACACAAACACACAAACACACAAACACACAAACACACAAACACACAAACACACAAACACACAAACACACAAACACACAAACACACAAACACACAAACACACAAACACACAAACACACAAACACACAAACACAGACACAAACACACAAACACACACAAACAAACACAAACAAACACAAACAAACACAAACAAACACAAACAAACACAAACAAACAAACACAAAGACACCAAACACGCAAAGACACCAAACACACAAACACACAAACACAAAAACACAAAAACCCACAAACACACAAACACGCACACACACACAAACACACAAACACACACAAACAAACAAACAAACACACACACACACACACACACACACAAACAAACAGAGTCACACAGACACACAGACACACACACACACACAAATAAACAAACAAACAGAGGCACACAGACGCACAGACACGGTTCAGGAAGCCGAACAAGACCAAGGCCAAAGGACGGCCAAATCGGGGGATAGACGTGAGACGTGAGACCACCTGTCCAACTCGCCGAAGCCGCCCGAAGCAACCGGCCGATGGCCGATGGTCGATGGTCGTCCGAGTTGCCGCCTTTGACACGGGGCCTCGAAGCTTCATCAGCCCTGTGACCACCTCATCAAGCTCCAAGACACCGCCCATGTCGGCGTCCAGAACGTCGAAGAGGTCGAACCTGCAACCAGAAGCCCAAAACCCAAAACCCCCAAAAACAAAAAACAACTCGGAAAAGAGGTTAGGGCCTTGTTTGGCCTTGATTAGGTCTCTTGATTCCTAATCTTGGGGTGTGCTAGCAGTTGGCCGGGCTCGCCAAGCTCACATTGGTCAGTCTCATCCCCTGTACAATGAAAATCAATAGGGGGGCCAACCCTTGCACGTTCCAGGGGTTCAAGATGGGATTCATAAACATGCTAGAAGGGAGGCACGAGCTAATCACTCAGGTTGCTCCCCCCCTTTCTGGTGAGGTTGCGGACCATTCAGCATGCCAACGCGTGCCGAAAGGATATTTGGCGGACTGCCCGTGACTTAAAGGATGCACAACTCAGCCTTTGGGTCGTCATGTTCCTACCCAGGCACCCGGGGTCTCTTGAGATGACAGCCGAATAAATGAGCTGCGTACAAAGATTGCAGCCATACACACCCAAAAGTGATGGATAGAACCCGCAAACTGCAACCACCCAGTCTAACCTGTCACTTCCTAGTGGAACTTGTTCTCAGTCCAAGGCGCTTGTTGGAGACGTCCACATCAGCGCTCTCCAGGATCGCCCTCAGGAGAAGCCGCGTGCGCAGCTTTCCAGCTGGATGGCTCGGGAACCGCAAATCAGGGCTCGGCAATGGGCAAATGAATGAAGCTCCCAGCACTAGTTTGGAGCACGCCCCTGGTACTAGGACGGGCTTAATGATTGTGGGGTCAACCATAGGTAGATCATCTTGGATTACTTGCTAAGTTGCTCCCTGCTGTGGATGGACGAAATCCTGCACCGCTTTGAAACCAAGAGAGTCCACTGCTTGTTGGTATGTGCGTTGGAATCATCATTCCAGGGCCTCTTAGGTGGTGCAGGATTTCGTCCATCCACGGTATTAATAGGACGGGCTTAATCCGGGGTCAACCATCAGATCATCTTGGATTACTTTGCTAGGTGTGTGTGTGTGGGCCGTCTAAGGCTGCGATGAGGCAACCAGCTAGGCGATCCAAATTTTGCCAGGAACCACCCCACAGCACTTCAAGGCGTCCGGGCGCAGAGAGATCAGCATGCTACAAGAAATCGCCGCAGGAAGGCTTTATGCACAAGGCGTTGATGTTAGGAACGACCTTTCTGGGCATGGAGTTTCAAGGAGTTGATGTTTGGAACAAACTTGCTTGGTACACATGGAGTTGACTTTGGCATTATTTTGGGCTTGGAGGGGTGCATAGATTTCGCATCGTAGTAGCTCTGGCTGCTGCCGACTCCGTTCGTGCTGTAAGTGAACTGACCACAACTTGTCAAGTCATTTCCTAAACACCATCCCGCTGGAGATGATCTTAGAACCTGCTCACAATGACTCATCAGCTAGCCCCCCCCATAGGTTCGACATGTGTTCGGGACGTATGTATGTGCAAAACCACTTACATGGCACAAACACATAGATAATATGGAATGACCCTTTTGAAACAACACTTGGCAAACAAACATCAAACATTGGCTATCCACCGTGATGCTCAAAATGACCAAATTCCCAAAGTAGGCTTTTAATATATGGATATAAACATCTGAATCCAGTATAGTCATAGATATTCAGTTATGCATCTATGGAAAACAGCTGTTTACATGTGTGTATATATAATATATATATATATATTGTATATATATATATGTGTGTATCACGAAATTCATCCACAGAAAGGTTGGGGCGGATTAAATCGCGGTCAGCCGGCAAGAACTCGGGCAGCTGGAGCCACTGCATGAAGGTTTTCCGGTCCACACTGGTGCTCCGCCTTAATGCTTCGAACCTCGGGAGCTGGCGTTTGTCTGGCAAAGTTTCCTCCCTCCCCTCCCTCCCCTCCCCTCCCCTCCCCTCCCTCCCCTCCCCTCCCCTCCTCTCCCCTCCCCTCCTCTCCCCTCCCCTCTTCTCCCCTCCCCTCTTCTCCCCTCCCCTCCCTCCCCTCCCCTCCCTTCCCTCCCCTCCCTCCCCCTCCCCTCCCCTCCTCTCCCCTCCCCTCTTCTCCCCTCCCCTCTTCTCCCCTCCCCTCCCTCCCCTCCCCTCCCTTCCCTCCCCTCCCTCCCCCTCCCCTCCCCTCCTCTCCCCTCCCCCCTCCCCTCCTCTCCCTCCCCTCCCTCTCCTCTCCCCTCCCTCCCCTCCCCTCCCTCCCTCCCCTCCCCCCCTCCCCTCCTCCCCTCCCCTCTTCTCCCTCCCTCCCTCCCCTCCCTTCCCTCCCCCTCCCCTCCCCTCCCCTCCCCTCCCCTCCCAATGGTGAAACCCAACGGAACCCACGAAGCTTCATGTTTCGGAGTCAAAGGGAGCCAGGTGCTTTGGAGCGCGAGGCTTTGTGACTTTTGGTGTTTTTTTTGCCAATCATGGAAAGGTTTGCTTGCGACTTGTTTGCCTGTTTTCGAGGGGTCCAAGAGGCTGGGGGACCAGTTTGCTGTCAAGTTGGATGACCCCACAATGCTTAATCGCGTAATCCCCTCAGACAGCCCTGCGCCTTAAACATGTTACAAGACCAGGGCAGCGGATTCACCAGCAATGCAGACGTACTGCAGCAATAAACATGTGCGGCACCGCAAACCAAAGCACCCCAACATCTACCCCCCCCCCCCGCCCTCTTTCTAAACTTGGATTAAGGGTTCCCGTGCACGTCCGGCCCCATGTTTTGTTTTTGTTAGGAGAGTGGGTTTGCTGGGCTCGTGGCTCGGGGCCTTCACCGAGTCGCTGCGTGCGCCAGAAGAGCTCGTCCTGACACCTGTGCTGGGTCCTGCAGGTTCCAGAAACGAGGCAAATTTCAGACCCGATTCCATGTGAAGGGGTCACTGGATTTCCCCCTCACAAGTTGAGCAACTTACTGGTGATGTCCATCGGAAGTTCCAAACAAGGAAATGGAGGAAACCCAGTTCATACCCAGTGATTCCATTTACTTGTATAGGCAAGCAGGGACCACCTTTACAACTCAAAAAACAAATCTTGTCGTGGGAACTGGGACGCAGTGGAGAGATTCAGCCTTCAGCCATCGTTCAAGCGCAAAACATCTTCATAGCCTGCAACCAGGTTGTTCGTGTGAAAATAAATGCTGGAGAAGTTGAAACAGGGATGCTCGGAAGCCCTAAAAAAGGAGAACAAAAGGCCTCAACGTCAAGTTTCCACCCGTGTGGTTTCCTGCAGTTGTTTTAGGTTCCGAGCAACCCTGAGCTAACACATTTCAGACGTCTGTCTCCCCGCCCTGAAATTCAGAAATGGCCTTTCACCAGTTTGGGCCCCACCAAATTGAAAAGCATAGTTGACCATTTAGACAGGGGAGTCACTGAAAAACTGACCACAGTACTCCAAGAAACTGCTGCAACGAATGACCCATGGCACCACGGTTTCGAAGAAACTGGCCCTCCAAGGATTCCGGTAAAAAATCCTGCAAAGGTCTGTTTACTGTTGGGCCCACAGAATGGCATCGGTTTCCTTTTGATTTCCCGTTAAAACCACAAAACAAATCGGGGAACTACCGCGCCTCGGGAAAAAAAAGACACGCCGACGCCGCCCATCTGCATTGCTTTGTTTTAGTTGGTACCTTGATTTCACGCAACCCTTACTTGGCAGTTTGGATTGGTGGCGGGATTTGAACCTCTCGGAGTGGGAACGAGTCCGACTCGCAGACTCCTCCAGGTGGCAGAGTTGCCCCGCACCAGGCCGCTGAGCCGCGAGGCGATGCTCAGGCGCCCTGCAGGGACCCTTGGAACCTTTGGGGTTTTGGTTTTGATGGGAGGCCAAAAAAAGGAAAACCACCCAAGACACATTTCTCACTTGCCCAAAGGACCTGGACATGAAAGGTTAACCTTTTGGGACCTCCACCAAAAATGGACCAACACAGGAAAACCAAAAGGTCAAAAGGTCGGTTTTGAACAACTGAGATTTTCAAGAAATGGCCCGGCCATTGTAAGACACGCTGATGTTGGCCTTTTGTGAGTTGGTACCCTGTTTCGGCTGGTGAATCTGAAAGGAAACCGACCAGTCCTTTGCAAGGTCCACATGGGTCCTCTATTTTAAGACCAAACCAAATAAGTGACCACCTTCTTGTCGATGGACCCAAGGCAAACAAAGCAAAGCCAAACGGAGAAAAGGTCGATTCGAAGCGCCTGGGGCGAGGAGGCCCATTTGAGAGGATCCGGATCACTTTTAGAAACTTGGGGGGCCGCCCCCTAGTAACCAGCCAGGCTGATCCAGGGTCAACATGTCCTGTTTTTCAACGACGGCAGTCAGGGGACAGGGCGTTTCTAAGTCGATGGCACCCCCCGCCCTGGCTTCCGAGTGGGGAAAGGGTATGCCCAACTTGTGCCCAGTGGCGGTTTCAATTGTCTGCCTGGCGCGGCTCTTGGCCAAAGTTGGGTAGAGCACAAAGCGACAAGAATGATCTGGCCTAAATGGCCGTGGATCAAAACCAATCATACCATTGTCTATTTTTAGTGGGGATTGGGATGTTCATTGGGGGTGCGGGATTTTGACCCATGGCCTAAATAGGGGGGGGGGATGCTGGAAGCTCAAGACATGATGCGTCCTTCGGACCTAAGGCTCGACCAACCCTTGGCGTCGATAGATGCGAGGCTCGCGGTCCGACTTGCGCCTACAGAGGCCCGCTGCGCCGCTGAAGGATCCAGGAGCAGCACAATCGCCTTCCGGATGGCCTGTGCGGCGCGGGTCCACGGCAGACGGGCGGTGAAAAACACCAAAGCGGTGAAACGTGCGGGCGCAACGTCTGAGGGTTGCGTCGTTCTTTGTAGCTACCCTTTTGAGGTGCTGCAAGGGACACAAGAGCCAAGAGCCAACCACCCAGCTTGGGGATCCTTTGGAGAAACAGGCCAGACTCCGAGCGCATCCGTTTAGGGGGCTTCCCTCGCGCCTTGTACGAGACTTCGCACTAAGAGTTGAAAGAAAGATTAACCGACCGAAAGTGCACAGACTGCTCACTTTTCAAAGATTCGGCAACTTCAAAACCGCTCGACCAGCCCAACTTGAAGTATGTTTGTATGTGTGTACGTTTGTATGTTTGTTTGTTTGTTTGCTTGCTTGCTTGCTTGCTTGCTTGCTTGCTTGCTTGCTTGCTTGTTTGTTTGTTTGTTTGTTTGTTTGATTGTTTGTTTGTTTGTTTGTTTGTTTGTTTGTTTGTTTGTTTGTTTGTTTGTTTGTTTGTTTGTTTGTTTGTGTGTGTGTTTGTTTGTGTGTTTGTTTGTTTGTTTGTTTGTTTGTTTGTTTGTTTGTTTGTTTGTTTGTTTGATTGTTTGTTTGTTTGTTTGTTTGTTTGTTTGTTTGTATCTTTGCATGTTTGTATGTTTGGACGGTTGTACGGTTGTATGTTTATACGTTTGTAAGTTTGTACGGTTGTATGTTTGTTTGTGTGTTTGTTTGTTTGTTTGCTTGTTTGATTGTTTGTTTGTTTGATTGTTTGATTGTTTGTTTGTTTGTTTGTTTGTTTGTTTGCTTGCTTCTGTGCATCTTTGTATTGTGTTGGTTGTATGTATGTTTGTATGTTTGTATGTTTGTTTGCCTGAATAATGGTTTGTTTGTCCGTTTGTCTGTGTGTTTGCTTGCTTGGTTGCTTGCTTGTTTGTTTGCTTGCTTCCTTGCTTGCTTGCTTGCTTGCTTGCATGGTTGGTTGCTTCTTTGTGTGTGCGTTTGTTTGTTTGTTTGCTTGCTTGTTTGCTTGCTTGCTTGCTCGTTTGCTCGTTTGCTCGCTGGCTTGTTTGCTCGCTGGCTTTTTTGTTCGTTTGTATGTTTGTATGTTTGCATGCTTGCATGTTTGTATGTTTGTATGTTTGTTTGTTTCTGGCAACTTGAAACCAACCGATGCACAAAGGGTTGGTTCACTTCCTCAAGATCCGGCAACTTCAAAACCCCAAAACGCAATGAGTTGTTGAAGGTCTACGGAGTGAAAGCGGGCAAAAGGTTGATCTGCTACTTTGCTTGGCTATATCTTTGCTTTGCTATGACTGTGGTCTGCTCTGCTATGCCATTTCGTCGCTGTCTTTGCTTGGCTATTTCTTTGCTTTGCAGTGTCTTGCTTTGCTATCGCAATGTCTTTGCTTGCCTTTCTTTGCTTTTCATTTCTTGGCGTGTCTGGTTTGAATCGTCCGTAGCTCGGAAGTCACTCATCTAAACTTCTTCGACGACAAAGGGCCAAGCTAGGGCTCTTTGCCCACTCGCTCTGGGCTGGTTTGGGGCTGCTTTCAGGAGGGTTTCCCATACTAAAGTAAGTACTGTCCCTCCCGGAACCCCAGGATTTCCAGTGAAGAGGCTCCAACATTACCATACAGGCCCTAAGCGTTTCACAGAATTCTAGGTTGGGGATATGACTGGCCCGTTTGTACCCTACAAGGGCCCAAACAAAACACCCCACCCACCTCTTGGGTTTTCAATCCTCAGCGCCCCCCGACGGCCCACTCACCCCCGCCTGCTCGGAGGCGTCGGCCTTCTCAGAGAGCTCCCGCTGCTTCCGGCGCTGCGCTGAGGCAGTGGCGTTCTCCAAGAAGATGGCCATGATCCTCGGGTGGCTGGGGGAGGGAGGGGGGAAGGGGAGCGAGGGAGGGGGAGGGGAGGAGGGGGGGGAGATCCTTGGGCAAAGAAGAAGACTGGGCTTGGTTGACGTATTCGATTTTTAGCAGGTAAGTGGTTGGATCTCAACCACTAAACCAGAATAAGCAAAAATGCAAAAGGTTTCCCAACAGCAACTGAAGGCCCCAAAGAAGGCCATGAGCACAAGAGAGGCCCATTCTGAATTTCAGAAATTCCGAATAAGATCCTCAGGCAGAAGACATGGGGGCTGGCTACCTTCCATGGGTACCACTTTGGTGGTTTAGCATGTCTGGACCACTGCCAGAAAACACCAGAGAGGTGAAGTTCACATGAGGTGTGTCTCAAAACTGAGGAACCATACCTGCATTTTGTTGCGGAAGACAGGGGCCACCTTCCAGGGGTCCCCCTGGATTTGGCTCCGGTGATGTGTCAAGGGCAAGGACACCCTCCAGAAGCTGCCAAGTAAAGGCCCCTTGTCACGGCTTTCGCTCGTTAGACCCCCGAATCGGAAAGCTCGTTGTGGAATAAGAAAAGTCAACCCAGGATGACCAAGAGTCCGGGTTTAGAGGTTGGGCACCTTCTCCATGTTTCAACAGGAACTTGGGCTGGAAGAGCTTGATTCCCTCTTTTGAAAATCTCTACCAACAGACCTGAACATACTCACTGGCTGAGTGGATGGCCTAAAAAAAGTCCAAACTTTGCATTTTCCAAAAAGTTTAAAGTTCATGAACTCAGGAAGTGATTATACCATTGGCAATGCATGGTCCGCATCCCGAACCATGGCTTCACTGCTGGTGGATGGGTCAGTCATCATTTTTTGGGCCCGATGTTTTGGCCCGATGTTTTGGCACAAGGGGCTTCAACCCCGCAAACCACCAATGCAAACCACCTTTGTCAGGGTGCAGAGCCGAAGAACACGAAAAAGACCTAGCCACCCACTTCACCCACTTCTTGCTTTCGTTTGGGAATGTAAAAAAGAGTAGTCGCCCGCTTCTCTTTTTGTGTGTGAGGCAGCACACATGCTCCTGAAGCAAACAAACTAATTGCAGGTTTGGCGGTGAATTGCGATTCGTGCTCATGTGGCTGCCAAAGAGCTAGAACAAGTCTTCAAACAGTTTCCCATCCCGATTGTTTTATCCTTGGACAAGTAGTACTGTGGATAGATAGACAACATGCGGCACCAATTGGCATGGATAAAACCCTATGAATCGTGGTATGAACCACTTGTCAACTGGTGCAGGATTTTGGCCATCCACAGTCTGCCTTATAAGCATTCAACCAGACCAGTGGTTCGAGTGGTTTTGGGGGTACCTCGTTGAGCCCATCGTTCGAATAGCCCGTCTGTCGGGTTGCAAACAAGCTCTCTTTCCTTTGGAGGCCATGTGGCATACCATGCTGCCTCTGAGCCTATCCTGTGTTTCTGCAAGCGCTGTTGCTCTCTTGGTGAGCAAAACGAACCGCGTTCCCTCACCTCTATCCGCCTGATGCAATTGCTATATACCGAATTATAATATATATATATATATATATATGTACAAGTATGAATAAAACAATAATATGCATATACATATATACATATAGAGCTATAGATATGTTGCTATTGTATACACAGACATATGTGTATGTTTGCATGTGCGTTCATATGTAGGTGTTTTCTTGCTATGTATATGTTGAATCAGCAAAGGCCCTAGCACACCATACGTTAGTCCTGCAAACTCGGGCGGCCTGGCCAAACCTTGCGAGCTCCATGTGTTCGTTCCACCTTTCTAGGTGTGACGCACATGTTTTTCCTTGATATAATATATATATACACATACATATATATACATACACATTCTTCACGTATTTTACACATACGTATCTATCGCCAAATGGGCAGACATAATATGGTTTTTAATATACCATATCTCTTGGGTGGAGAGCCATGTCCCCCAAAAAACGAGCAAAGCCGTTTACCTCGGAGCCCAGACATGGCATGGCTGGTCTCAAAGGGAAACCGCCATGGCAACCGTTTTCCTTTTGGTTTCCTCTTAAAAAAAAAAAAAAACGCCGACGAGGGGTCTGAAAACAACACGCACACCCATGTGGCCTCCCCAACCAATCTCAAAAAGGGTACCTTCAAACAAAGCACCCGAGAGGCCAGCCGACTTGACCAATCATTGCCTTACCCGAAAACCTGCGAGAGGGGCAGCTCCCGAAAGAACAGGCATGGCGCCGCTTGGGGACGGAAGCGCGGCTCCCAAGGAAACCAGCAGGCACGGGTTTGGTGATGCAAAGATTTGCAGGCATGCGAGGGGGGCTCCCAAAAACCGTGCGGAGGAGCAGCTCCCAAAAGAAACGCATGGCGCTTCTTGGGAGGGCGGAGCGGCTCGGCAGGCATGGGTTTGGTGAGGCAAAGATTCGCCGGCTGTGCGTTTGGGGGAGGAGCAGTCCCCAGAAAACATGCGAGAGGTGCAATGATTTGCAGGCGCTCACAAAATCTGTGCTTTCGGGGAGCAGTCTGAGGACGCGGGGGATGCGGACCCTGCATCACCAGCATCATCCGTATTGAAATCGAGGGGTGAAAAGCTACAGAAAACGCAAGAAGGTGTCAAGCCTTCCCCCACTAAAATCTGGAATTTGGTGCCACACTACGACCTTCCCCCCCAAATGGAGCTTCGCTCCCCACAAAGAACTCGAGCTCATGGCTGTCGTGATTGCAACATTCAACTGCAGCTTGGCACCTCCGCACTGCAGCCGAGGTGCATGTTGAAAATGCCCACGGCCACCAGCATAGTGACGCAAACCTCACGAGCCAAGTGGTGAAGGCACCCTTGACAGCATCAGGAAAACTCTCCCCACTCCCAATGCCCATGACAGGTTTCTTCATAGATGATGTCTGTGAAGGAAAAGGCAGAAACCAACTGGGAAGTGTGCACAGGGCGAGGTCGCATCCACCCCGTGAACACTACAATGCGAGGGATACAAGTCATGCTGGGAAAGTCAGCCCTTATGCCCACGAAGCTTGGGAAGCGTCGGCCATCCTACTTGCTCCGCCCGGCGGGTGACAAAGATTGATTGCCGCCCTGCAACTGGCCGCCAGCGCAGTGTCAAACAAGGCTAGGCTGTGATCACGTGCTCATCTACCGGCAACTCTGCCAATACTCGGTCTATTCGCAGGCTTACAAATTTGTTGCGCCCATTTTCTCGGTGGAAATCGACCAACTGTGATACATGCCTGCACAGCAAATCCCGACTTTCCAGATCTGCCATGCCGCATGCCTGAGTCTCGCCACCTTGAGGAATCAATACTCGACGGATGAGGCACATGCTTGGCGAAGAGGGCGTGCAAACGCTAAACGGGACGCTGAACACCAACCAACAGGACCAGCAATTGGTCGCGAGTGAAACACTGCGCCCTGGCAAGCAAATGGTACCCTGTATGCAGAGTTGCCGCGCCGAGACTGCGTCGAGTAAGAACGCCGTCAGTACAAGCGCCAATGGGCGAACAATCAAACAAACAAACAAACAAACAGACAAACAGATAGCCAGACAAACAGACAAAACAAACAAACTGACAAAGGAACAAAGAAAAAAAGCAAGCAAACAAGCAAACAAAGACACAAAGAACAAAACAAGCAATCAAGCAAGCAAGCAAGCAAGCAAGCAAGCAAGCAAGCAAGCAAGCAAGCAAGCAAGCAAGCAAGCAAGCAAGCACGCAAGCACGCAAGCACGCAAGCACGCAAGCACGCAAGCACGCAAGCACGCAAGCACGCAACCATACAACCAAACAAGCAGCAAACACACAAGCTCAATGGCGATCAAAGAAGCCAACAAAACACCCAAAACACACAACAAAAAGCACACACAAACAAACAACGCACACACACACAGACACACAACTAACAACAAGCAACGCGCAAACAACGAGCAAGCAAGTCACGGAACGCCTCCAGCACACAACACACCGGTCTGCAAGCCTGGGAAACGCCACGTTCCAATGCATTTCGACTCGAAGGGCTGCGCCAAATCCATGGCATCTAAGAATGAGTCGACCAACTGCATCTCGATCTGGATCAATCTCATGGGGAAAGCGAGAAACCCAGAAGGAAGGGCCGCAACTTCACATGTGCCACTTTTTGCTGGCCTTCCCTTTAAAAACGAAAAGGAAAACCACGATTTCGGGACTCCTCCTAAGAAAGAGACACAGGCACGTTGATGAGGCAACTCCAACTTCCTTGGACAAGTTTGGGCCAAAGCACCGGCAAATCCTATGAACAAGATCCCAACTCGAGTCATGCAAAGATCTAAAAAACATCGCGTCATTGGATTTGAGCATCAAACGGAAGGGTAGTTATGTCAATGTGTCCACAAATGGGACACCCCCCGCAAGTGGGAGGTGTCCCTGTGTTTTCCCTTAAAAACAGGCCCCAATCAAACAAACAACGACATCCGCTAACCTATCGCCGCGAAACGTAGCCCAGCGTGAAGGGCGCACCATAGATGCTCCGCAGCCGCTCGGCCAGCGGGGCGCCGTCGTAGGCCGAGCAACCGTCCTCGGACAAAAACTTGCTATGGGAAGTTCAACGATCTGCGGTTTATTGGCTTCACTATTCTACCATCAAAGTCACCCCCTTGCTAATTAAGGGGAACAACCCCATTTTCCGACTTTGATAACCCCCAGAAACCGTCAAAATTATGACCCCAGGTTTAGCAGGGAAGCACCGTTTAAAAATCCGACCAAACAGCTGGTAAACCTGGAGATTGGAGGTTGAGAAGCCCAACACAGCCAACTTGCACTTGCACTTCCTGACCCGTGAAAACCCCATCCACACAAGTGCTGCACATTGCCCAAGCCTGACACAATTCCGTGTTCAAGTGTTCCAGTATGCGCCAACTGGGACGTGCTGGGCATCAAATGCAAACAACAAATGTCAGCGTTCCACAACTACGCGAGCATCTGTACATTCGGACATGAGTTCCGCTTGTGGGACATCATTTGCATGATACTCCCCGTTAAAATCGTGGCCATCTTCCCTGAGCACAGGGCAAAAACATGTCTTGGACGGTCTGACGTGCATGCTGTTGGGACTGGTTGCCTCCCGGTTGTCCACCCCAGTTTAGTTTGGCAAAAGCCTCATTGGTGTTACACAGCATAAGCGATCAGATTCCAACGAGTTGCTCACTGACTGGCTTCATTATTTTACCATCAAAGTCACCCCCCTGAGTGGTGGGTGAAAGGGAAATCACCGAATCCATGTTCTGACTTACCATGATCAAAGTCACCCCCTTCATGAGTGAATGGGGGTAAAACCGAATCCATGTTCTGACTTTGCTAACCCCCAGAAACCGTCACTAATGACAGACTGAACATGCCAGTGGCCTTTGCGCAGCTTTTTGGGGCCAAAAAGGGGCAACTAGATCGTGAGATTCGGTCGCTTCGCTTTGGCTGCTAAAGCGACCCGGGCCAAATGGCCGAAAACTGTTCAAACCCAGCGCTTCCAGGCAAGCCACTATGGGCAATCAGGGCAATCAGGGGCAAAATCGAATCCACCACGTAAAACCTGGTAATATATATATATTTATATATATATATATTAAAAAAAAAAAAAAAAAAAAAAAAAAAAAAACGAAGGGGTACCTGGCTTTCGTAACCCAACCGCCTGGAAGCACTGGGATCACTGGGCAACCAACAGCTCCGTTCCGAGGCTCGGTGAAGCAACGGAAGAGGGTGAACATCGAGTTGGGGATGTTATCGAACTCCGCCATGGTGCCTGACGCTCACAATTAAGCCGGGGGTCACCTTCCTTCGGGCGCTGTCTTCTGAGTAGAACCAACCGCACCGGCAAATGCCAACCTTCACCATACCCCGAACACTTGGTTGACGTTGGAAGGGGAGCAACCATTTATTTTTTAGCAGTTAAGTGGGGATTTCCCACTAAACCACAATAAGCAAAAATGTAAAATGTTTCCCAACAACAACCATGAACTGCCTGAGAAGCGGACCAAAAGCTGGCACTGCTTAGAGGGAACAAGCCCTTTGCTTCACCAGCCTTTGCACAAGCGCCCTTTGCGCCACGTCCCTGGCCACCCGAACCTTGCATGAGCCCAACCCCACGCTCCACCAAACTGGAGAAGTCAATGGTTTGCGGCTGCCCATGCTGCTCATAGGCAGGAGCTGCCTCTATGTTTCTATATGCTAATTCGTGCCCCACCTCTATGCACTCCCGTTTTGCTGGAGGGTTGAAGGTGGTAGTTCCAGATCAGCTTACGGCCCCTGGCAAGCACCGTGACATGAGCCATGCAAGCCACGCCGTCCAGGGCCACCAGCTTGCGTATGGTCATGCTGACCCTTGATTCATAGACCCGAGTCATCTGTTGCAATGGTGGACAATCTGTTTCGCTTGAGTTTGGGGAATTTAGATACCCAAATTGGGTGGAATTTGTCCCTTGTGATCCGTTGAGCGGTTTGCTGGGGGTCCTTATCTTCCAGGTTCCCTATAAAACTGGGCTGTTCTCAGATCCCCCGCTAGAAGTTTAACAATTGGTGGGATAAATTGAAGAAATCCCCACTAAACACTAAAAACCCACAAAGCTAAGGAACCGGATGGCTGGGAGCTACCAAGAAAAGACCAGCCAATCCGACACATCCGGTGTGTGCAACGAGCATTGCTCACCTCCCTGGGGCGGGGGTGGTGAGTTATGCCCTGGCATTTGCGATCCATCGGCCTCCAACCAGGTTGCGCATGAGCACGCCAAAGACGTAGATCCTTACTCAGAAGTGGCAGTGTAGCATTGCGTGCCCAAACACCAGACAACACCTCATCAGCCGGATGCCGCTCTGAGATATCGTTCAAGCCAAGTGTCAGAAGTTTAGCCGGTCATGAAATCATGCACATTAAATCGCACCATTCAGGCCGCGTCTGAACCCTGTTTTCTTCGCGCTTCCTCACGGAACCGTCCCCTCCAAGACCCACTTTCAGCAGGAAACGGATTCCAACCCCCACCTCCCGCTATTCTCCGACCCCTGCTTCACCAGAATATGAAGCTCTTGGCATGTTTGAGTGTTTAGGAAACAGAACAAGGGTTCGGGTTCGGAGACGAGGATTGGGCCCTATGAGCTCCTTGGGCATGGTCAAATGGAATGGGACCCTCCAACCAAACCCAAAGAGAGTCCAAAGCCACTGGAATCTGCAAATTTCCTCGCATGCTACAAACATCATCTCGCGGAGAAAAAACGTCAACATGCCCGAAAGATGCCTAAACCCTGCACCTGAGCCCTAAAACTTCAACCCTAAACATGAACCCAAAATCTAAGTTAAACCAAAACCCAAACCAGAACAATGAACCAAAACCTGAACCCTACACCTAGGCCCTAAACTTGAACCCCTGCCTTCTCCCTACGCCCGGGCTGTACCACGGCCCTACGCTCTGAAGAGAACGAAGGCAACGGGCAGGATCAAGCGGTGTCGGCAACCCAAAGCAAGATTAAATAGGTTTTTAGATAGATAGATAGATAGATAGATAGATAGATAGATAGATAGATAAAACAGATAAATAGATAGATAGAAAGATAGGTAGATAGATAGATAAACAAACGGATGGACAGATTAGATTAGATTAATCAGATTGGATACAAACATGGATAGATAGATCAGCTTAGATTTCTTAGATCGATTAGGTTGAATCAGACTACATTACAAAAGATAGATCGATAGATACCAAAACTGATGGATGAGATAGGTGGGTCGGTAGAAGGGAGGGATAGTTGGATAGAAAGATAGGTAGGTAGATAGACAAATAAATGGATAGGTAAAGGATAGATAGGAGAGATGGGTAAGCATATAGAACTATGAAAAATATAGGATATATCCATTAGCATGGATAGGGTTCGTATAAAATCGAACAGAAAGATCGATAAAATTGATAGACAGGTCGGAGCAGATAGATAAATAGGAGAGATAGGAGAGATAGGAGAGATAGGCGAGATAGGATAGATAGGCAAGCAGATACAAGTGTGAATATAGGATGTGTCCACAAGTTTGAATAGGGTCCGAAAAACAAAAAAACACACAAAGAACAAATAGATCGATAAAATAAACACTGGTCGGAATAGATAGATCAATAGGAGAGATAGGAGAGATAGATGATAGATAGACAGACAGACAAACAGACAGACAGATAGACAGACAGACAGATAGACAGAAAGATAGATTAGATAGATGGATAGATAGATTAGATAGATTAGATTAGATTAGATTAGATTAGATTAGATAGATAGATAGATAGATAGATAGATAGATAGATTTAGATGGATAGATAGATATGTAGATAGATTAGAGAGATAGATAGATAGATAGATAGATTAGAGAAATAGAACAGAATAGATTAGATTATACTTAATTTAGATTAGATTAAATAGACAGACAGATCAGACTAGATTAGATTAGATCAGATAGATAAGATTAGATAAGATACGATAAGATAAGATAAGATACCACAAAATAGGACAAGAGAACATTTAAAAAAAAAAAAGCAAAAAAAACAGATAAGACAAGATTAGATAAGATAGACAGATAGATTAGATTGACTAGATTAGATTAGAATATATTAGATCGATAGATAGATAGATAAATAGATGGATAGATATAGATAGATGCATCTAGATAGATGTAGCTAGATCGAGATAGATAGATGTAGATATCTATAGATAGATATAGATACATAGAGACAGATATAGATTGATATATATATATATATCAGATATAGCAGGTACATAGCTAGAGAGAGATACACACACACATATCAAGCAGATAGATACATATAGATAGGTATAAACATATTGAATGGATAGATAGTAGAGAAATAAGATAGACAAGCTAGATATATAGATAGATAGATAGATAGATAGCTAGATAGATCGATCGATAGATAGATCGATAGATAGATAGATAGATGGACAGATAGATAGATAGATAGATTAGATAGATTAGATAGATAGATATATAGATAGATAGATAGATAGATAGATAGATAGACAGACAGACAGACAGACAGACAGACAAATTAATAGATTAGATCGACATATTAGATAGACAGATAGGTATATATAGATAGATAGATGGATAGATGGATAGATAGTTAGATAGATAGGTCACATTAGATTAGATTGGACACATAGACAGACAGACAAACAGACAGATTAGATTAGATCAGACAAAACTAGATTTGATTTGATTTAGGTGAGATAGATAGATAAATAGAGAGACAGACAGACAGACAGACAGACAGACAGACAGACAGACAGACAGACAGACAGACAGACCGACCGACCGACCGACCGACCGACCCGCCCGCCCGACCGCCCGCCCGACCGACCGACCGACCGACCGACAGACACACACACACAGACAGACAGACAGACAGACAGACAGACAGACAGACAGACAGACAGGCAGGCAGGCAGGCAGACAGACAGACAGACAGACAGACAAACAGCAGACAGACAGACAGACAGACAGACAGACAGACAGACAGATAGATAGATAGATAGATAGATAGATAGATAGATAGATAGATAGATACATAGAGAGAGATACACAGATAGACAAATCGATGAAGTAGATTAGATTTGATATGATTACAAGCATATTTGACATGGACAGATGGGTAGACACATATACAAAGAGACAAACAAACAAACAGATAGATAGATAGATAGATAGATAGATAGATAGATAGATAGACAAGTGAACAAATGCATGCATGGATGACTTGGCAGGCAGATTCTCAGATAGATAAACAGAAAAATAACAATAGGTTGACAAGCAGGTAAGTGGATAGCCAAGAACACACACAAACGACGGCAGCTATGGGCAATTCATTCGCCTTCGGGCTATCTTGTGATTGACCGGGAACGCGGTACCTAGGCTAGGCTTATGACCCATGTCCACCTGCCTGCGCATCCGGGCCCCGGTCAGCCAGGGCTCACAGCGAAGAGCAACACCACAGCCCAGAAGAGGACCTGAAGAGAAGTTCGGTTCGGTCCCATCTGTTGACATTGAAACATCCCCATCTGGATAGGGGCCCAGTTCCAAATGGAAGACTGAAACATCCCTGGATAGTTGGGCCCAATTCCACTTCAGAGAAAATCAAACTCGAGAAATGTACTGGAGACATCCCAGCTCTTGGCGTTTCCTTTCAGAGTTTACGTGGTTCTCCCACTCCATTCTTTGCAAGATAACCCGCCGTGGGAGTCAAGAGGGTCATGGAACCCGTCGGATCCAGGTCTGAGAGCCTGGGAGGCTGCCGATCCGTGTCGATACCGATAGGGAAAAGTAAGGACATCCAACAGGACAAAGTTTTAAAGAGCAAAAAGCCTTGGCAATGAAGCGAAGACATCTAGCCTACTTTGATTTCGAAACAAAATGACACAAAAACAAGGGCATGAAGCCTGCTCCAGGCCTCCGCCAGCGACTCTGATCAAAACCCGTTCGCGTGCCCGAGGGTGAGGTGGGTCTGTACATGCATGTCCCTTTATTGTTTGATTCCTGGTTTTTTGGCATTGGTTGCCAAACGCAGGCATGCACTGTCCTAGATGTGGCAAGCCGAGCTTGCTGCCCAAAGTTTCAATCATCTTTCCGAAGGCTGACGTCATGACAGGTTCCGGGAGAAGTTCGATGGGCGACTCGAGGCGAAAGGTTCCGAAAGTTTGGGAGCCTGGCATCACACCAAGTCCGAATCTTGCCTGACAAAAGCTACCATGAAAGGGTAGGCTACCTGGGGTGCCCGTTTTTAAAATGCGATGGCAGTTTGTCTGAGAGAAACACGAATCCAGTTCCACCCAAGGGTTTGGCTGGGTCGCCTTTAGTCCGACGGTCGGTGACGTTGTTGCCGGATCCGGAGCCTCGCAGCCGTTCATGATGCCCATGGTGATTTGCCGAAGCTCGCTGAACATCTTGAACTTCAGAACCCGCACCGTCCTTCGCGGACTTTTTTTTGACGAAGCCTCAGTTCAGTCCTTAGCTACCTTAGTGACCCCCCCCCCCGGCCAACCCCAAGTCGCGAGCGACGTTAGTTACGAGGCGTAGAGGGGAAAGGAACTGGGGCTGCACTGGGGGGTTGACTTTGGGATGACGGGCTGAGGGAGAGTTGGAACTTGTCGCCAACCCGGCTCAGCACAGCCCGATCCACACAGGGCAAGCTGACGCATTAAACCTGAGGAAAACTTCTAATAAAGTGCTACAATCCTGCACGCCCTCCCCCCACAAACAGCCGGTTTTCGAAGGAATCTGCTTAAGTTTTGGGGATCCCCTTGTTGGGCTTTACTAACATGAAGGCTCGGCCCGTTGAGGAAAATTGTCGTCATGAACGCAGCCCTACCGAGGGCAGCTGCATTCTGCAAGTTGCTGCTGAAATCTTTTCCCGTTTGCCCGCAAGAAACTTGGTTGCCCTGGCTCCGACCACCGTACAATCTTCACATGTCTGAAAGGCTGCCGTCAGGTTTTGGCTGGCTTCCTCTTAACCCTTGGGCGTAGATAGGCGTTCTTCTATGGACCCCGTTGACAGGAAGCAACAACTCAGCCAAAGCCCCTCAGGGTGGTCAGCGGATGAACAGGAACGGCCGTAATCACCGCAACGCGACCCTGCCATATTCTCACTACTCCGTACCAGGATTAAAGACCCCTGAAAAAACTGGCCTGTGGGAGCTCGGAAAAGGTTGTCCGCTGCATACCAAAAGTGACTGAGTTTTTTGTCAAACATGCAACCACTAGTATGGCCTTGTGTTGAGCGACTCTTCTCGTCTGGACGCATCACGTGTCCCCACTTAGAATCCCGGTTTCCAAGGCGCATTTTTGTGAAAATGGGATTCCAGCCCGGAGTACTTTATCACGTCAAAAGGGAACTGAAATGGGAATGACGTTATTCATGCGGGGGATCAGGGCTTAGCAAGCGGCCTTTTCAAGACGACGGCCCGAACCCTCCTGTCAGCTTTCAAGTTTGTTGAGCAAAGCGCACCCTCCGCTCTTTCAAATGTTCATTGACTTACCACACTGACTGCTGTCACGGGTGTCCACCGGTCCTGTTGGTGTTCCAACCGGTGTTTTTTTTAATTATCACGAAGCCACTCCAACAGTTTATAGTTCAGTGGCATTCAGTGGCCAACGCCAGTCCCAATCATGCCAAACAAAGATTGGCAACGGAACTGAACGCACAGGGCCTTAGCTGCCATCGCAGTCCTCATCAGCTGCCCCAGGCGGAGGACCCGCATCACCGCCACGTCCTCCAAGAAGGGTGCCGCGTCGGCGCCCAGCACCTCGTCACATCTGGGTCTTGACGTCGGCCCCGGAAAAACTAGGACGCCGCCCGTGTCACAAAACCGGTCTGGAGGAGCAAATTTATGACGGTTAAGAACACGGGCAGCAATGGCTTCATTTCTCTACTCCTAGCTGATGGCTGCAAGAGTGTGCAAGAAGGGGCTTGGTCTAGTGACGTGAAACATATGATTGCGTGAGGGCCAAAAGCTTTTGACCTTCAGCATCGAATTGTGTTCCGTGGCCATGCGTGTTACATGGTCATAGGATTGTTCACAAGAAAAACAAAAGCGATTCTCGCAAGACGGACAGACGGACTCGAATGTATTCTTACTATTTGATTTCTCGAATGAGTCATCAAAAGTTGTACATTGGTTGAGACAGCTAGTTCTGTCTAAGGTGCTTCTGACTCAAGAAGACTTATCACAACTGAACACCCGTATAGATGGTGTCCATACTGAAGACTTATCACAAAGGAAGTAGTCTTGTAGACGATGGGGACAAACGGAAACATTGAAGTGATCCATCATAGCACCCATCGCCTGAGGAGGCAGTGCTTTCAGCCTGCATTGTTGGAAACTCAGCGTGACCTGTTCCAGGATTCATACTTATTGTACGACTCATAGTATCCATCCCAGCCAGGCGACGCACGTGGGAGCGGTGGAATCAGTAGGACTCAACACGCCGTAGCGCGACTGGCTCACAGAAGATGACAACAAGTCTGCCGGGCGGATCTTGGACTTCTGACAGCACTAGTCAAATGCAAGATTGCTGGAACAGTTCTACATTTCGAGAGCGTTGAACAGCAAGAGGGCCGGGATACAAGAATAAACCTGAGATGCTCACGAACGCAGGGAATGATGGCGACTGGCATGCTCCTCTCACGCTTTTTCTATCAAAAGCAAGTGCGGGATTCAGAAGGTCAACAACCAGCGAGCGAAGGAATGGAAAGACTACAACAACCGGGGCTAGAACCAGGGTTAAGGCCATTCCGGATGGAAGGGCTACAGCAAGAACTAGCGCGGAGGATATGCATCAGGATGCAAGAATTATTACTGCCAGCAGCGTTGACACTGAAGACCAAAAAGTGTGATCAGCTGCCTCAAGAAGTGATCATTTTCCAACTCACAACAACCGATGGCACAACAATACTACCGACCAATCGACATCCTCACGAGATCCTTTGCATGAACATCTATAAGACTTTTCTGATTGCGATTAGAACTTCATCGTCTACAATGATATCTTTGCCTGAAGCGAATGAGTCAATAAATTGTTTCGCAATGACACATCAGTCCGTATCTTCTTTGTGGAAGTCACCTGTCCGATTAGCCATGTTCCACCTTGCTTCCGTCCGAGCATCTTGGACTTGTGTTCCAGTTAGGTTGAAGAGGTTCGGAACTCATCCGAAGCAAGATCTCCCCTGCTTCTTACTGTCGAGCTTCCTGAAACGTTTGAAGTTGTTTGGCTTGAGTTGCTGAGAGCTCTTCTTTGGTTCTCCCAATAGTCAGTTGCGTAGGACTTGCGACATGAAGCTGTATGAGGTCCCATCTTCAGGGACGATGGTGATGTCCTGCGTTTGATCGATTCTCAGCATGGTCTTGACTTGCCCTCAGCAATCTCACTGCTGTCTCGGCCCTGCCAGGGCTTGCTCATCGGCTTGCTTGCCTGCGAAAAAAGTCTCCAGTTGTCTTCTAGTATGTAATGTTTGCTGCCTTTCTCTCCGTAGCGTTTCCTTCCTTTCTTACCCCGGTACGCCTCATCGTAGGGATCCGTGTTGATGTTCTCGTCAAGAGGGTCGAAACCCGCTTCGGCGACTCCAATCTTGACACTTCACCCTGATACCTTTCTGACTTCACATACATCGTGACCTTGGAGGACCAAACATGTCTCTTTACAAGGTCTGTCTTCTTAACCCTGCATGTGGGAGACTGGCAATGGTCCTGGATCAATGTCCTTGTGACTATGAAGAGCTCGTGATGCGGAGTCTTCAACATCTCGCACCCATCGGGCTAGATATTGCGCAGTGTCATTTGGCTGACACGCCCCTTCTTCTTGTTGATCAGTGAGCTTGCTCTGCGCGATTAAAGAACTATGTCACCGAATGGCAACGCTTACTGGAGGAGAGGGGCTCAGCTTCCTTGAAAGAACATGTTTTCGCACAGCCGCGCACGCGTCTGTCTCCGGATCTCAAAGGGGAGAGCCACAGCGGTAACAGCTAGCCAGTGTAGCTAGACTCGTTACTGGACCTTACCGCTTCAGACCGTGTTTTTTTTCTGCAGGGCCCTTTTCGGCCTCCCAGCGAGAGAATCGAATTCAGCGCCAGTCAAGTGGAAGATAAGCGTACACGAGCCAAACGAGATACCCGCGCGGTGAACTGCACGGAAAACACCCCGGGTTCACGCTTCTTTCTCCCACCAACACGAAGTCATGAGGGTGGCGACGGATCCAAACTTGGGCCAGCATAACTCCTCATCCTTGCTGCGCTTCAGAAACACTGGCTATTCAAATCTTGCTTTTGACAAATAAAGGCGCGTGTGGCTCGGAGCAAGCCCGTCTCCCCTTTGCGCAAACAGTACGGGCCTGGTTGTTTGAACAAAATTTGGCAAAACCCTCCCGTCCTCGGCGCCATCGACCGCCCACCAAAGTGGCTAAATACACTCTGGGTAACGCGGCTGCTGTTCATTTACTTCCTTACAATACTCCGAGACTACGAAATCAACAGCAACAGCCACGCAGACAGAACGTGCACAAATTGAGTTGATGTTGAATGGCCTCAACCCGGCTCGTCTCTTTCATCTCCTCGCTGCTCATTTGGCGCATTTGAGGGCCATGGGCGCAGTCGTTGCTGCAGCGGCGTCATTGCGCAGCGTCAACAGAGAGTTGAACTAGCAGAAATAAACTAATATGACATGTTTTCTTATGTGTGAGATCGGTTTTAGGGTGAAGTTTTAACCCTTTCAACAACCGTGCAACAACGAGTATGTGACAGTGTGTCTGTGACAGTCATGTAGGGAGCGACAGGAAACTGAAGCCTTCATGCCTTCCGCGCTGACTTCGGCATTCCCGAACTCACTTCAGTAAATGTCCCAAGTTTCTTGCTGCCTGAAGGCCTCGGATGTCCCGGATTTTGGCTTGCTGAATAGTTGAGTCTGAGGCCCAGTCCAGGACTCGGCGCTTCCAGTCTCTTTTCGCCGCGGACACCTAGCATGTTTCATTCGAAGTCTACACTCCCTTCCAGAAGTCAGCAAGACAACATTCACGTCGTACACGTGCCAAATCGTGCATCTGTTCATTCTTGCTTTACTTGCGCAAGATCCGTGTCACATGCATTGTCACTTTATGCTCTGGCGGTCGTGTAGTTGAAGCTGTCGTCACGCAGTTGCGGGCATCAGTCCTGATGTGCACATCTACTATCTCACCTGTGATGCCTGACCACAAACCTCAAAGAAACAAGCGTGAAGCATAGCATCTCATGAGTCCATGACATGAAGTTCTGCAACTGTTGTTGACATGGTCGCGGTTTTTTCCTCGTGCGTCACGTAATCCACTAGTGAGCCTTGTGAATCTGCCGTACCTTGATGAAGACCTGAACGCTCTTGATGGCTCGAATGGTCTTGCTCTACAATGGTTGGTGTAGCTGCACGTGAACCGCGGCGGGAAAACGGATCACCAAAGTGGAAGTGTGTTCGCCATTGCAACAAGCTGATCTGGCACACTCCTGTACGTGGAATGCATCTGTGGCGTCACAAGCATGTCGCCCTTCATGCCTGAACATCGCACAGGCAACATTCTGATGCACGTTGGTGTGCCAGCCAAGTTCCTTCTTCCACGTCACTCCAGCAAAAGGCCATCACTCTTGTCTTCCGATCCAACCTAAAAATATTGCCGGAGTTTGGCCATGATTCCCTTTTCAATACAAGCGAAAGACCTCGATTAACTTGTCTCTTTTGAGCATTGTTCACAGAAAGGGGTCCATGAGACAATCTACGGCTCTTCAAGATCAAATGTGGTGTCTTCTTAGCACTTCATGGTGTAGGCTTGGAAGTGCACCTGTCGGCACAAGCCCACAATACGTGAGTGCCTGGACTTGCACAGTGCCGGGATGAGGACGTTCTTTGATCGTCAAGGTGCATCATTGAGACCATAAGCTGGTTTCTTCATTCCGTACCAGGGTAAAGTGGATATTCCATTTCAGGAAGAATTTGGCAAACGAGACCTCTTGTTTCATCATATGTCTCCTCAAAAAGGGCAGTGTCTTAAGATCCATGATGGTCCATGCGAAAGACCTGTCATGTCCTTGCACTGCGCGTCAGGCGATGCGAAGCAGGGGTCTTGATGGCCTTGTGCCTGACGAATCTCTGGCGTCATCGTCCTCATCGAGGTATCGCCTCGTCGTCTGCGATTGCCCGGGCAACTTGGCGGTGATTGACGGGTTGATTTGCTTCCTCTGTACTTCCGACTGGCTGCAGTTGTATAGGCCTCCATGAAGACTGCGCCATCTGGCGACGCCCTCCTTGTCTGAAAGCCGAAAACCTGCTCCGCCACCAAACGCAAGTACCCTGCTCGAGTGTCTTAGTATCAAACCCTTTGCCCTTAGCCCTTCACAGGTGGTTTGGATTGTTGGGAACTGGGGATTTAACACCCTGGTTCTTGTGGGCAATGGGAAGCCACCCAAGCCAAACTACTAACTAGAGATTTGCTTGCATTCCCACCGGGTCCCTTCCAAAGAACACTTGCCTTACTCTCCCACAGGTGCTGTGTGAGTGGGGAAGTGCTCTTCCCGAGTGCCAGTTAAGGATCTGAGACATTTGCCAAAAGGAGCTCTTTGACCCAAGATGTTCCAATGTCGACTTTTTGTTGCGAAGTGGATTTTCCGTTTCAACAAACCGGGTGGGGGGTGGGGCCTGTGTTGTCTACACACTTGACCTTCATGCAATCCAAATCATGTTGGTCAGCTAGGGGTAGAGAAAATAAGCCATTGCTGCTCGTATCTCAGTGGTACAGTAGAAGAATCAACACGGGACAGAGCCGATGATCTAGAGCTGATCTTAACCCCCCCCCCCCAAGACTCCAGGTGGCAGGGGGGGAAAGAAGGGCGGCGCAGTGTTGGTTTTCAGCGAACCCCCCCCCTCTCAAAAATTCGTGGAAAACCGGACAAATGCCCTGCTGGAGGTTTCTGGGACTGAGCTGCATAGATCAGGACCGCCACCAGCTCCAGCAAAGCACACCTCGATGTGTTGAGCGCCCAAAGCCCATGGACCTTTCGTTCCACCAATAGGGGGCTACAATGGTTTCATATAGGCCTTAGGACCAGCCACCCCACACATTCGCAAGCGAGATCGAACCCCCCCCCAAAGAGTGACCCCGACCCTGATCCATGTTCTTCCTGGGTGAAACAGTGTCTCTCACCAAATCGCGTGTCTCTCACGGGATTTGGTGAGAGACATGTGAAGGGACCACGGGGCTTTGTGTTCCACCAACACTGTTCTAATGGTTTATATAGGCCTTACTAACATCTTTACGAAACCAGGTAGTAGGACCAGCTACTGCACAAGGGAGCACGGGGGATTTGGGCGCTGCCCATTTGGCTTAGACTGTCAACTTTAGGACATCCACTCGTCCTTTTGGTTTAATGGCGGCAGGGTTCAACCAACCAAACCAATCAGAAGGGACTGGGGGCAACAAGAAGGGCTGACTCCCTTTGCAAAAGCCAACCCCCCCCAAGTCAAACCTCATCTTGTCTGGTCCGGAAAAGATAAAGCCTCAGAATTTGTCGGGCAGCCGCATAATGTCATAAGATCTAAGGCGGCATCGCTCGCAAGTTATCTCCGGCGCGCCTTCCGCTAGCCTGCCACCGCTTAAAGCCTAGTGGCTTGGGCAACCCTTGGCATGGGCTTGCAGAACACTTTGCTTCTTTTTGCCGCAGCCTACTGAATTTGAACAGAACCAACAAACCAAAAACTGGCCAAGAACAGTGAAGCGATCTTTGATCCTGTTTTGCTCTGCTGGCTTTTGCTTCTGTTTCACAATGTAGCCCGTGGCCAAGCCCCAAGCTACGGACCATTGAGGCCACTTCCCACCCTCAAACTCCGGGCCAAAGGCTTGGGCCCAAGCGCTCAAACTGCAAGGAAGCGCCAAACCCGTGTCACTTCAAGTTCAAGTTTTGCCGGGTTCTCAAAATTGCTCTTGGGGATGGCGACCACCATTGAAAAGGTAACTTTTGGGGATGTCCCTATGCGCTGTGTTGGTCCCGGGCCATTTGTTCCAAGAAGGCCATAATAAGCTTTGTGAATCGATCCGAGCGGCAGCAGGCACAGAAAGTCGAACCAGTTCCACTGCCAATTCTCGTCCCAAAAGTAGCCCCGCCAGCCCAGCAGGGTCAGCTTCAGCAAGAACTCCGAGAGGTACCTCTTGCGTGAGAATTCCAGGAAGGCCATGGTGACCCCACATGACTCAACCCACCAGTTTATTAATACTGTGGATTGACGCAATCCTGTACCATTTAAGAAAACCCAACGGAATGATTTGATTTCCCTGCAAACATTCACTAACCGCGGACTCCTTGGTTTCAAAGCGGTGCAGGATTTCGTCCATCCACAGTAGGGGAGGGTGCTCCCCTCCCAAAGTGGTCTGATTCCCCACATTGTTGCCAGGGCCCCCCTATTAAGAAGCTGGGGTTGATTAATCTGGAGTCAACATTGCCAGGGTACTTGGAGGGGCCATGTGACCTTGAACAAGAGATACCTTGCGAAATTGCTGAGGCAAGCGGTACCAAATTAGAGAGAAACAACACTCGGTTGCTTTCTGCTCCCCTGCTAAAAGTTTAACTTTTAGTGGTTCCATGGAAAGCCCATTAGTTGGCAAAAAAATAAAGTCCTAACATCCAAGCAAAATGCACCAAAGAACATATAGTGACAGTGCCCCGACAGGTTGGAAAACGCGTTGTCATGTTGTCCCTTGTGCCACTGTCGGGCGCGGCTTCCAGCGGGAAAAAACGGGCAGGTGCCATGAGAGGTTGAACACGAAAGTCGAAGACAATTGGTGGGCTGCAAGGGTCGGTCGGCGTACGTGTTCCCAATTTCTTCCTAGTTCAAGGGTCGCTAAAAAAATACGCGCTGCCACGTTGGGCTTCGGTCTCTCCCGGATGTAGCACCAATTTGACAGGACTAAAGGATAGCTGCGCCAAAACAAATCAACCAGTTCAACCATAGCCTTGGCCCAAGTGACATGCAAAGCCGCTTTGGGTGGTGACATCGGTCCCCGCAGAAAAGTGAACCTCATGCTTGCCCAGGGCAAAACTCCACCTAGCGCCCTTGTTTGGAAAAAGGCAGGAAGCCAACACATGGGCCCGTGCATCCAAGTTGGTTGCTTCACAACCGAAACGCTGGCCAAGATGTTGGTGAGACTCTTGGTAAGCTTATTGAATTGTCTACAACGGCTTTTCTGGTTGAAAAGTGTCTTGAACCAGCACACCAAGAGCTGCTGTTTGCTAACAATCACACGGGGCTGCTCCGAAAACTCTGGCACGAGGATAGAACAGTGGCCACTTGAGTAGAAGCTTAGGCTCTTAGACGCTTAGAGGCTTGCGCGGCTGTTGCCTAGCAGGAAGAGGCTTAGGCGCTTAGAGGCCTAGAGGCTTAGAGGCTGGTGCTGAAATAGGCAGACCCCTTCTCCCAATACCATGCAGTAACTTAAATGAGACACAACCAATCTTCTACCCGTGGTTTGGTCATAGAGGTTTGGAGCAACATCAAAAGCCCACAAGCCCAACGCCTTTTGGAAACTCGGCGGCGATTTTTCGGTCGAGGCACAGCAGGGTGAAGACAGCACCTATCACCTGGGACACGGTCTCGTTAGTGATCACGTCGCTATCCAAGGCGATGGCCACCGCATTCCTTGGAACATGTTCACCCCGAATGAATCAAACCCTGTTTAATACTGTGGATGGCACGAAATCCATTTCGCACCGCTTTGAAACTAAGGGAGTCCACTGTTTGTTGGTATTCCAGGGGAATCATCATTCCAGGATTTCTTAGATGGCGCATAATTTTGTCCATCCACAGTATGGGGCTGCCCCTGGTTTTAGCGGGGATTCATCAGACAACCCCATATTGACAAACAGGGGTCGATCATTCCGGGGTCAACATTAATCATTAATCATGGAAAGGACACCAACAGAAAGCTTTGAATGGCAAACTTTGGGAGGGAAATCCAAGGTTCCGCCTCCGGACAGGTCCTTAGATAGAACCGTGTTAGAATAGGTTCTGAACAAAGGGTTCTGGGAACCTTTTTTGGGGGCAGGAGGGGCCCAAGGTCCCTCCTGAAAATCAGCACCAGCGGGCCTGTTGCGCAACTCCTGGAGCTTGCGGGGACCACGTGGTCGCAATGGAGGTTGCCAACATCGTGGCGGCAATGGCCATCGCGGGATGAACTGCCAAGAACAAATGGCTGGTTTGCAACTTGGCGTTTGGCACGAAGTAGAATGCCCCAGGCCCAATTCTGTTCAAGAAGGCGGCGGTGAAACACATTTGCCATGCCTGGGGTGTCAACCTGCACCCGCGGGGTCAAAAGCCACGCATCTGTCAGGTGCGGCACTCAAAGGGCAGGTAGCGGAGTGGTTCTTTCTTGGCTGGAATTAGGACCCCAGCAGCAAAATAGGTTTTGCCTGGCTAGTGGAAAACAAAGGGAACCCCAAAAAAGCAACAAATTAAACAGGGGAACTAATTCTGGGGAAGCTTTGTGGGCGCTCTCCATTCCGAGCTTCAGGATGATCACCGCTGGCGGCCCCAGCTCCAGAAAATGCGCCGCTCGGGTTCGCCACGCCGGCTCCGCCTGAGCTGAGCTGAAAATGTCAAGCCTTCGGCACAAGCCCTACTGACCACAACGCAGCGCGCAATTTCCGAGCACGAGATCAAACATGTTCAAGAGGATGTGGCTTCTCTAAGGCAAACAACAGTCTATTCGCGCCAAATGAGTGAAACTAATTCCAGTTGAAGATAGTCTAACAGCCGCAGGCAAATTCCATTCAAACAATATTTCAACGTTAACCACCAATTTAACAACAAGTTGCCAAATGCCCCAATGCCAATTGCTGCCCCCAGCGTATGTCGAGGCGCCACTGCTAGGCGATCCTCCTCCATGGAAAAGAGTCGTAGCAGCATGGGCATACGACGGTTCTCCTGAGCAAGGTGTGCCATGGTCCTCACATGTTCCCGTTGAATGTTCACCCCACCAAAAAAAGAGACTCATCAGCCATTGTTCACCCCACCAAAATGGTGGAACCCATCTGAAAATGGCAAAAGATACATGATGATACAAGTGAATCCCAAAGAAGGGACCTACACCCCAGATCCATTAGGTTCAGGAGGCAGGTCTTTTTGCGACTCTTTGCAACCTGCGGCTGTTCGGTTGGTTTCCTCTCCACCTGGCGCCTATGGCCTAGCAAGGCTTCAGATGCCATCTACTGTCCAACGCCGGCCCCTCTGCATTCATAAGGCAGCAAACCAATGAAAACAAGACACCTCGCCCATGAAAATGGAGTAAGCCGACCCCACTTCACAACCTAAAGGTCGCTGATAACAAGTAAGTTCTCGCTTTCCATTTTCTACGGGGCACGGAGCGATGGCGAAGATGCCTGACTGAGAAAAGACGCGGCTGAGCCCGACGAGAAACAGCCGTGCTTTCCATGTTGGACTGCAGTTCCATGCGTTTGTTCTCCGAACAGCAGGAGGAAAGAAACGTCGTGCCTGCAAGGTTTCCAAACAAATTTCCTTGCTCCAGGTCTGAGGATCCCCTGCACTTTCCTTGGATTCATCCACGCGGCCCCCATGGAAACGTGAGTGGAACAACTCTTGCTATGCCCGAAAAGCTTCAAATTCAAGGCATGGCCACCTGGCCCTAAAACAAAAACCATACCCGATAGACAACCAAAAAACAAAAAAATGTAAACATGATGCCAGGGTCCAAGCACTTCAAGTTCACATGGCTCCTCAGAATTGGGGGAACCCGCCATATGGCCACTTCTCATTTTGGAAAAAGGGGAGTCGCTCATTACACAAATGTGCCCCTCTCCCCCGCCGCGATTCCTTTTTGGATTCAAAAGGGGAGTACTCAAAGTACTCAAAAATTCAAATATGCCTGGAGTCGCCCCCTCCCCCGCCCTTTGCTTCACACGCAAAAGTTTTCCTGAGGCTCCCGCAGCCTTCTCGTGGCTCACTGGCACGACGTACTCGCTTTTGGTCGATGAGGACGTAGAGTGGAAGCTTCTTGGGCGAACAAAGGGCTTGTCTGGGAAAACGTCTTAAGAAGCGCGTCTCCTTTTTGGAGAGTGGTACCTCCTAGCTTGGATTTTCGAAAAGGCAAGTATGTCCAATGATGCTTGCATGCCAAGTTGGTTCTACATCAGCTGGCTAGTCTCCTTCAACACCACCAACACCACCTCCTATCAAAGCTGATTTGAATCATCTGGCAACTCTGATTAAACAAGACTGCATCCACTTTGGTGTCAATCATCTGAATACTCCACTTCAACAATAATGAGCCATCGCACTTCAGGAGGGTTTTTCATGTATTGAAGGACAGTCTCGCATTTTGTCAGGCTGACCCCGACTAAGTGTGGAACTGTCCCAAAGCAAGCAATCCTGACCCAAACAAAAATCGAGACTGTCCCCCCCAAAAAACAGATCCCTTGGGCAAGATTTCTCTTAACTTTTTTGCACTGTCTCGAGCTTTTGCGTGGAGTTTGCTTTGCAAAATTGTTTTTTGGGGACAGCCTCGCATTTTGCGAGGCTGCCTCAAAAGTGTGGAACAGTCAACAAACAAATCCTGACACGCCCACACCCCAAAACACAAGCCCGAGACTATCCCAAAACAACGGCAACAAAAAAGAGCAATTCTGGCGGCCTTGCGCAGGCCAAGAGCGCAAGACTCTGCAGGATTGATTTGTTCTTTTCTTTCTTTTTGCGGTCGAGGCTTTGCAAACATGACTTTGTGGGACAGTCTTGCATTTTGCCAGGCTGACCCATAAAAAGTGTGGAACTGTCCCAGAAAGCAACCTGACACGCCCAAAACCCAAAAAACAAAACGCTGAAAAACACTAATGCCCCATCCTTTCTGGGCGATTTTTACCAACCAAAACGAAACCCAAGGGAACACCCTAAGTAGTGCTTCCAACATGGTATTTGGTCTCTTGGTGTTCCCTTTGCAACCACCCCCAAGAGGGTACCTTCAAAAAACACCTAGGTGTCAAAGCAAGGCCTTTTGTTGAACATGTTGAACCCAGTTGAAAAACTAAACCTGCGTTTCATTCATGTTAGTTGATGGGCTGGAGCCCTAGTCAAGGTTTATTAAGAGGCATGAAAGGAAGGTTTGCAACTTTTTGCGTAAAGTTGCGATCGGCCGTGTTCAGTGCTTTGCGGATCTTTGCCGTCCCCGTGTCGCATATTACATGTTTTGGTGGAACGAACGTTGCGTGACATGCTTGAAACTCTTAAGCCAATGCCACGCTTAAAGCCCCTGCATCCCCTGCAGGGAGGGGACATTGTGCCTCTCCCAAATGGAATCCTCGCCGGCGTCCAAGGTTCCACCATGAAAGGTGCCTGGTGATTTTCCGGGAGTGACATGTGAGTCACAATCAAAACCCGTTAGTAAAATGGTCGACCCACAACCATGTAAAGCATTAAGGCGGCCGCAGCTATCTATGGCAAGGGGATTGTCCCGTGCTAACCCTCATCTACCCGGGTTTTGAGCATGGCTCATGTGGTTTATTTGGATGTGTCCGGCAACCCGAGAAAATGGCTGCCACCTTGACGGCCAGTTTCAGAAGCGCCTCCCTTGAAGTGAGGTCCAAGATGTGTAGGTTTTCTGCAGTACTGGCTCGATTCCCTCAGCGCCGGATAGATAATTGAGGAGACCCCAAAACGTGGAACTCCTGGAAGAACACATTGATCTTCGAGCTTCACGCATTTGCCCCAATCCGGGAAATGTTGAGTTACCGAGTCAAATCAAATCCGAGGAAATTTCAGCCACCCAATGGAGTGAAGTCCATGGCGCGTGCGTGTCTTGGAAAGATTTGCGTCGGTGTCCGTGCTCTGCTCCAGGAGGTTTCGCAACTCCTGGATCTCATTGAGACCCCAGGGGGCCCACAAAAAATCCCACGAAGAACACCCGACCCAATAGCCCCACGAGGGTGAGGGGAATACATTATGCAGTTGAGACCTCACTTGGGCGAAAAAAATGTTGGCATAGCCTGTGGGGTAACATGTGCTTCGGATCCTAAGGTATGCATGTCCGTAGTTCGGACTCTTATCCCCTTGGTGACATGCACAAAGATCACCCCCTCCCAGGGGAAAGCAAAGCCAAAGGCCTGAAATCTTGGGAGTTGTCCCTGACACGGGTTCAATGTTCAGAGGACAGGCACGTGCAAAGTCTTAAAGAAGCCGGAGACCAAAAGACTCATTTCCCCCCCATCCTCCAACCCTCCAACCCTCCAATCCTCCAACCACCACCCCCAGACCTCTTTTTCGCCACAAGGGCGCCCTTCTTTTGCAGATTTGAAAAAGGAGAAGCGGGCGGCGGAGGTCCGGCTTTTAGCGATGCCAAACTTCCAACTGACTCGAGAAGCCTCCCTAGATCAGAGTGAAAGCACCGGGTGGGCTTCCAGAAAGCTAGCAACAGCTCCGAACGCGCGCTAACTTAGCGCGCGCGCGCGTAGGCGACGGACCAGCTTTTGGACCTAACATAGAACCACTACCCCCCAAGCAAGGTCAGAAGGCTTACGTTTCGTCTTTGGCGTCAAAGGTTGTGGGATCTGGAGACTTGTGCGTCGCCACCGGGCCCACAGCAATTCGAGAGGGGGGCACACCTGGCTAAGTTAAGAGCTGGGGGTTCGGCCAAGTGGGGGGTGGGTGTCAGAATTCGGGGTCCTTTTGGCATCCCTCAAAAAGTTGGCGGCGCCGGCCACGGAACAACAGCCAGACGTGACCGGAAACTGTCATCACCAGCCTTGCATCCGGAGCCCAAAAAGAGGCAAAGCAAGCTCGAAAAAGGCCAGCGAGGAAATCGCATTCTGGATGTTGGGAATGAACCGGATTTGGGGATTCCCTCAAAGGAAGCCTTCTTGGGGATGGTCACTTCTCGGGGTCATTCCAACTCCGTCCCTGCCTATGGAACCAGCAATCTAACGGTGAATCCCCCATTCTTTTCAACCATCGTTCCTCTACAAAACCTGCAGCTTCCCTGGGTTTCCGGGGGGTTTTCTGGAAAGGATCCCTGAAAAGGGGGAAGGTAGCACCAGAAGCAAGTAAATCCTTCGTGTCCTCGTTCTCCTGCTGCAGGCTGGACACCGTGCCCCGCAAGCTGCGGATCTCGGAGCCCAAGGCCGTCAGGTACTCCAAGCCTCACAGGCGAGGCTTGCGCCCAAAAACCCGTCGCTCGAAGTTGGGGGTTTAGGGCGGGTTTGGTGCCCCAAACCAAAAAGTGAGAAAAAAAACCGGGGAAACATGTTCGGGTTTCGGGCCTTGGTTCCCCACAAGTCCCTGGAATCATGGGACACCCCCTTATTCATCAATGAGGTTTCGACAGGACCGCATTTCTAGCCGGACGCACGCACACATACCTATAACCCCGCAGGATACTTGGAACGTCCTTTCTCGCCCTTGAGAAAAATCGGGGGGGGGGTGAGGCCCACTACCGGGGTGCCTATCCCAGAAGGGAACTGGTACCCTGTGGTAGTATGGTAGTAGAGGTCGTTGATTTGGTGCCTGGATCTATTCCGGAGAGAGTCCTATATGGCAATATGGAGGATTGGAGGATGGATTGTCCCTGGTGGCTTGTGTTGACTGTGAATCCTGTGAAGCGGTCTGCAAGCCCTTTTTATCACTGTACCATGAGTCGAATGACTGTACAAATGACTTGAAGGGCCTTGAGCCCATCATGTCAGCGGAGTGTGTGAATGGTCAATGTGCAACAAAAAGCAACACAAAACAGACACAACTTTCTTTGGACCTTTCACACCAAAGTGTATGATTGGCTTCTTGGCCTTACGTGCCGTAGCCATGTTTGGAAGTGCCGTAGCCATATATTGTTTCAATGATTCATCCAATTTTTGGCGCGGATGGTTTGTCCTGTGAGCAAAATGGAAAACAGTCTGTATTGATTTTGTGAGATACCTAGATGTATCGAAAGGTGATGCACAACGCTATGTACATGCGGGACGAATGTGAAACTATTGATCTCTCACTGAATAGTCTTGTTGGCGGTGAGGATCAATCTGGTTGTAGTTCGTAGTGTCGATCGTGGGAGTCTTCTCAGTCGTTCGGATAAGTGCCAAAGGTGGCTGCTTCATCAGGTGGTCAGCGGTACCACCGGCGGCCGCTGTCGGATTGACTGCCATAGTTCATTCCAGGTCGAGTCGCCATAGTCTTTCCATTGCTTTGGATTGCCCCAGTACTGCTTATTGTACTCTTTGTAGTCTTGCTGAGTTCAGGATTGTTTCTTCTTGAGGTGCTCCTTGGATCTCTCGAAGTTGCGTTGCCTGGCGGCAGATCTGCTTCGGATGTAGACCATGACCGGACTTTGCGAGTCGGAATCTTGTGAGCCATTCATGAACATATCGTTGTTCACGTGCTTGAAGCGTTCCGCGGATGAGACCTGATAGTCGAAAATTGCAGACGTTGGATCGTTCCGCATGGCTTCCAGTTGTTCATCTCGCATGGCGTTCATCTCTTCCTTCCGGAAAACCTGCTGGATATTCGTTTTGCCCCATCCAAACACGAATGTCATCATCACATCTGGGAATGTTCGATCATACCCTGATCCAGTCTTCATGTATAGGTGATGACGGACAATGGATTTTAGGGTGCATGAAGTCTCCATTGCATACACTCCATTCTGTCCACGAGTGGCAGATTCTCCGTTTCATTCCACAATCTCTGATATTCCTTCATGAGGATATTCATGAGACCTTTGGCCGGATTGAAGACGTGCTGGAGTCTGCTGTAGGTATTCGCGGATTTGTTTGCGTCTCCGGTGATCGCATCGCATTGGTACAATGTCACGAGTGGCAGGATTTCGTTCTGAAGATCTTCCCGTGCTGCTCCATGGCTGAGTGATGGATGAATGTGGAAAACTCCAATGGTAGCAAACGGGAGGTCTGCCCTCGTTACGTGGCGGCTGTCAAACTCGAGGAGTGATTTGTTGGATGATTTTGGGAGCATACCACGATACTCATCACTCTGCTCGATGTGGAGAACGACAATCTCTTTGTTACGTCCGTGTCCTTGGACAGTGGTGCCTGGTGGCAATCTCGGTCCGATGTACTTCTTGGATTCAGTAAACATGGATGGTCCCGTAGTTGCCAAGCAGTCCGAGGTCGGAATGTCGTATTCAGGATCAGTGCAATTTTCCTCGGTTCCGAAGAAACATCTGAACATCCCGAATGTGGTTCCCCAATTTTGACTCTTTGTGTATGTGTCTTGCCAATAGTTCCACTCGTGCGGAAGGTCCGCCGCGGACAAAGCATGCAATTGGTCTGGATGACCATTGCTTGATAACGATGCCCTTGTACCCGAATCGGATGAACGTCTTGATGAGTTCTCTGGGTTTGTCATCTTGAGGACTGAGGAATGCGTCTGCTTCATTAAGGCATAAGATGTGTGCGCTGTTCTGCATCATCATCTTCACGATTGGTCGGTCCTTCATCGCCATGTTGTACACCTCCCTGCCGTCCAGCTTTGTGAGGTTTCCATGGTTCATAGCATGCATGTTGATCGTCAGGGATGAGGTGAACTCATGCATCTTGAGATGGTCCACAGAGGGACGGTCGGTCGGCTGCATCAGCAATCCCAGGATGTCGGCAAATGCTCGAATGACTTCTGGGTTATCAGGTGATCTAAGCTTCTTCAATCCCAGCGGAAGCTTAATCGGATATCCTGATACTGGCTGTGCCTTCCGGTACTCGTCCATGGTGGGACATTCTCCTCGATGGCGGAAATAGAACTCTTCTTCTTCGAGGTTGACATCGGGATCGACGTGTGCCAATGAGGCTCTCTCGCATTCTGTCAATTTAGGATGAGCTGTTCTTGGATCCTTGTTGTACTTCTGCATGAAATGGAGGAAGTTCTTTTTGGTCTCCACAAGCTCTTCCTCGGCGTCCTTCTTGCTCATTTCTATTTTGAGGTAGATCTCCTTGAGTTCCTGGATGAACTCGTCTAGGTTCTCAGGATTTGGATACTCCATGGTGACCTTTGGCTCGACGGATCTCTCCTTGCAGAGTTCCATGTTCTCCTCTTCAACCTCGTCCTGATCGGTGGAGTGCCGTCGCTTCTTGGTCTCTGTGGATGTATCTTTTTCAGACCTTTCCTTGTTTTGGTGGTCATTTTTCACATGTTTGAAGAAGGCATCGGCGAACTCTTGGATCTTGCTGTTGTACATCTCAATGTCTTCACGACCGAGATTTTTCTTCATGATCCAACTGTTACTCATTATGATGGTTCCTCGGGATCAAATGCTGTAACAATGTTCCTCGCCTCGATGGTTTGATCTGTCAATGCTGTTCGCTCTTCGGAGAGTCGGATGTCGTAGTCCTGGTCCTTGAGGAATGCCAGGATCAACAAAGCATCTCTTCCTGTTGGCACATGTGTCAATGCGGCTTCTGACGCTTCGTCATCAAGGATAACGTCGTCGATGCATGCCATGTGGATGGCACTCTCCCCGAAGGGTTCGACTGGGATCTCCCAGATTTCAGCCCGTGCTCCATGATGCTGATCAGATTTTCTCCATATGTAGCATGGAACATGAAAGTGATGGGCTTCTTCGCGAACGGCTTGATCTTTCTCTCTTCTTCAATGGATTGAGGTGCCGGCCTTCGCATTCTGGACTTTGCCTGAGCTGTGCCTTCGTCTTCGTGGGGCGCGTCTGATCTTGACGGATGCGGACTTGGAGGAATGGATTCCGTTGGAAGATCATAGTCCGGTTCTTCTTGGCGAGGCTCACTCTTCTGCTCGGAGTACAGGGGTCGTCCAAAAGATTGGAGATCGACTTGTCGTGTGTGACCGCTGTTGCATCTCACGTAGAACTCCATGTCAGGATCATTGAGTAATTCCTTGCCATTAGGCCGGAGTGCATCGTATGCGGATCTGGAGTTGAGATTGTCGATCCATCGATTTCTTGGAACAATGTCTCCCCTTGCCTTGCGCTCATGATATGTCCCGTCCACGGATGGATATACACGAACGCAATCTCGAAACGTGCCTAGCCATCAAAAGAAGTCCTGGCGTATTGCCCATGTAATTCCTGGCATGCGTGATACAGGTCAATGCATCATAGAGCTCAACGGATCCATCAAGACCCATACCCACTTGTCGTTTGCATTCTCTGTGTTGGCCTAGCGTGGAATCATGTCGGAAACATCCGGAAAACAATCTGCTCAATCGCTCGATTCGCCAGAGGATGAGGTCGGTGATCTGTTTTGCCTTGGATGGATCCATGTGGAAGTATTTGCACACCTGCTCAACGTTCTGGACGGTCTTCTCGAGATCGATATGGCGGTTGTGACATACCATGGGAATGATGTCTGTTCCGAAAACTTCTGGCTGAGCATTGGTATAGCAGCAAATGCTGTAGACCTTCTTGATGAAGTCCATGTATTGTTTCTCTGTATGTGGACCTTCACCTTGAAGCGTTGGCTTCTTCAACCAGAATACCTTGGCTCCATGTTGTCGTTCATGCTCAGGGATGAAGTGGAACTCAGGGTTCGTCTCGAGGATGGTTGGGCACTCCTTGTAGTATTCGTACACGAAATTGAGGAATTTAGAATTCCCGAAAGGTCCTGGATGTACGGATTCCCTCTGGAGGCTAATGTCCGTATCTGATCCATCTGGTACATGCCACCGGTCGTTGGATGTGAGAGTTGGCCGCATCGCTGGTCGCCTTGGAAGTGCAGGATGATTGTCGGATTCTGTCTCCTCATCCAGGATGTTCTTAGGCGCTGGCTTCATCTTTGACATAAGCCTTAGTGTTGTTGGTGGTGACTTTGGAACCAGTTTTGGATGTGGCATCGCCTTCGGCACTGGATTTCCTGCGAGAGGTTCTTCGTCATCCAGGTCATCGTCGTTGTCGGTATCGCGATCATAACCAACCTGCTCCATGTTGACGTTATCTGGTTGTTGAGAGGCGGATGGATTCTCATCGGCGACCTGCTCCATGGGGCAGTCGGATGTCCCATCTTCCTCATCACGAGCAGGGGATTCCTTCAAAGGAGATGCCAGTCTCTTCACCAGCGGCTTCGGCGAAGGAGCCGCAGTGCTGGATTGTCCGAAGATCACGTTGAGAAACGGAATGTCTTCGAAGTGATCAAGCATACACGATCGCAAAGGTCGGAATGGTTGTAAACCGAAA